TTTGGGGTGTAATTCCACATATACCCATGGTTTGTGCGAGAAATATATCATTTAAATGACAACTTTGTGTAAAAAAAAAAAAAGTTTTTGTCATTTTCCAGAAACTTGTGGAAAAAAAATAAATCTTCCATGGACTCAATATGCCTCTCAGCAGATAGCTTAGGGTGTTTACTTTCCGAAAAGGGGTCATTTGGGGTGTTTGTATTATCCTGGTATTTTAGCACCTCAAGAAATGTGATGGGCAGTCAGAAAGTAAAAGCTGTGTAAATTCCATTATCTATCCCATAGTTTGTAGACGCTACAACTTTCACACAAAGCAATCAATATACACTTATTGGGATTTTTTTTTAACCAAAAACATGTAGCAGAATACATTTTGGCCTAAATATATGACGAAATTTTAGTTTTTTTGGATATTTTTTATGACAAATGAGAAAATACCATTTTTTTACAAAAAATTTATTTTTCTTCAAAACTTTGTTTATTGCGCCAAAAATAAAAAGCGCGCACAGGTGATCAAATACCACCAAAGGAAAGCTCTATTTGTGTGAAAAAAAGGACATAAATTTCATTTATGTACCGTATTGCATGACCGCGCAATTGTCTGTTAAACTAGTGCAGCGCTGCATAGCAAAAAAAAGGTGTAAATTGCAGTATCTATACCATAGTTTGCAGACGCTATAACGTTCACACAAAGCAATCAATATACACTTATTGGGATTTTTTTGGACCAAAAACATGGAGCAGAATATATTTTGACCTAAATGTATAACTAACTTTGAGATTATTATATATTATTTATAGCCGAAAGTAAAAAATATCATTTTTCTTCCAAATTTTTGGTCTTTTTTTGTTTATAGCGCAAAAAATAAAAAGCGCACAGGTGATCAAATACCACCGAAAGAAAGCTGTATTTGTGTGAAAAAAAGGACGTAAATTTCGTTTGGGTGCAGCATTGCATGACCGCGCAATTATCAGTTGAATTAGTGCAGCGCCGAGTAGCAGAAAGAGGCGTGGTCAGGAAGGGGGGTAAATCCTGTAGAGGGCAAGTGGTTAATGCTAATAAAGGGGGGGGGTAATAAAAAGTCCCCATTTTGGTGGTTCCAGCTCCAGATAAAAAGGTCTGAACCCACATAATGCAGAAAGAATGAAAAGAAAGCAGAAAAGCGCGCGCTACTAAGTGTGTAAGTTTAATGGTAAGTAAAGAGTTAATAATGAAATGCACTCCCTGTGTAAGGGAAGATAAGGCGTGTCACCATGTTCCCAGAAGAATCTCCTCCCAGGAAAGGCTTTCCGAATACAGCTTTCTTTCGGTGGTATTTGATCACCTGTGCGCTTTTTTATTTTTCGCGCTATAAACAAAAAAAAAAAAGACCGAAAATTTGGAAGAAAAATGATATTTTTTTACTTTCAGCTATAAATAATATATAATAATCTCAAAGTTAGTTATACATTTAGGCCAAAATGTATTCTGCTCCATGTTTTTGGTCAAAAAAAAATCCCAATAAGTGTATATTGATTGCTTTGTGTGAACGTTATAGCGTCTACAAACTATGGTATAGATACTGCAATTTACGCCATTTTTTTGCTATACAGCGCTGCACTGGTTTAACAGACAATTGCGCGGTCATGCAATACGGTACATAAATGAAATTTATATCCTTTTTTTCACACAAATAGAGCTTTCCTTTGGTGGTATTTGATCACCTGTGCACTTTTTATTTTTGGCGCAATAAACAAACGTTTTGAAGAAAAATAAATTTTTTGTAAAAAATGGTATTTTCTCATTTGTCATAAAAAATATCCAAAAAAACTACAATTTCGTCATACATTTAGGCCAAAATGTATTCTGCTCCATGTTTTTGGTCAAAAAAAATCCCAATAAGTGTATATTGATCGCTTTGTGTGACAGTTATAGCGTCTACAAACTATGGTATAGATCAGCAATGGGCAAACTACGGCCCGCGGGCCGTATAAGGCCCGGCGGACCTTTTAATCCGGCCCGCGGAGCGTCATACATTGGCTGTCAGGATGTGTGTAGGCGGGGCAGCATGACGAACGTGAGGGGAGCTAGGCTCCTCTCACAGTCCGCCCTGAAGACCGGAACGGCGCGGGAACACGGCGAGAGGAACGCGCGGAGCAAAGGTAAGTGAATTGACACAGGGGGGGGGACTTGGCTTACTACATGGGGGGAATAGTACTGTGGGGGATGAAATACTATATGAGGGATGAATTAATATGGGGGATGAATATGGGGAATGAATTACTATAGGGGGGATGACTTACTATAGGGGGATGAATTACTATGGGGAATGAATTACTATAGGGGGATGACTTACTATAGGGGGGATGATTACTATGGGGGATGAATTACTATATGGGGGATGAATTACTATGGGGGATGAATTACTATATGGGGGATGAATTACTATGGGGGATGAATTACTATAGGGGGGGGATGAATTACTATAGGGGGGGATGAATTACTATAGGGGGGATGAATTACTATGGGGGATGAATTACTATGGGGGATGAATTACTATATGGGGGGATGAATTACTACGGGGGATGAATTACTATATGGGGGATTAATTACTATGCTTACTATGGGGGAATATTACTATACTTACTATGGATGACACATACACATCATTCATCTACTCTTGGTCCAATATATGAACCCATTGCGGCCCTCTCAAGTCAAAAAGTTTGTTCACCCCTGGTATAGATAAATTTACACAGATTTTACTTTCTGACTGCTTAATCACATTTCTTGAGGTGTTAAAATTCCAGGACAGTACAAACACCCCCAAATGATCCCTTTTTGGAAAGTAGACACCCTAAGCTATCTGCAGAGAGGCATATTGAGTCCATGGAAGATTTATTTTTTTCCCACAAGTTTCTGGAAAATGACAAAAACATTTTTTTTTTTTTTTTTTTACACAAAGTTGCCATTTAAATGATTTATGTCTCACACAAGCCATGGGTATATGTGGAATTACACCCCAAAATACATTCTGCTACTTCTACCGAGCATGGGGATACCACATGTGTGAGACTTTTTGGGAGCCTAGCCACATACAGGAGCCTGAAATCCAATGACCACTTTGAAAGCCTGAAGGTGCGTAACTTCCTCATTACACTTCCTCACTACCTATCACAGTTTCGGAAACCCTGAAATGTCAGGATAGCAGTAAACTCCCCAAAATGATCCCTTTTTGGAAAGTAGACACCCCAAGGAGTTTAAAAAGAGGCAGGGGTGAGTATTTTGCAGATCAAATTTTTTCTCACAAGGTTTTGAAATATAAAAAAATGTTTTTTTTTTCTCACATTTTCAAAAAACATTTGGCAACAAACGAGATCTGAAAAATACTCACATGCTTCTTATCAAATTCCTTGGAGTGTCTACTTTCCAAAAAGAGGTCATTTGGGGGGGGGGGGTTGGTGCTATCCTGGCATTTCAGGGCCTCTGAAACTGTGATAGGTAGTTAGGAAGTGTAATGAGGAAATAAAGAACTTCAAAAGCTGAAGGTGAATATTGAATTTTGGGGGCCTGTAACGTGGCTGGACTGCCAAAATGTCTCTCACATGTGGTACCCCCATACTCGGGAGAAGTAGCAGAATGTATTTTGGGGTGTAATTCCACATATACCCATGGCATGTGTGAGGAATAAATCATTTAAGTGACAATTTTGTGTAAAAAAAAAAATGTTTTTTGGGCCGGTATGTAAACAGCGGTGCACCATGCATGTGAGGTATCGCCGTTAACGTCAGATCAAGGGAAGTAATTCTAACAGTAGACCTCCTCTGTAAATCTAAAAATGGTAGTTTGTAAAGGCTTTTAAAACGTTGCCTATGCATATTTAAAAACGTATGCAGTTTGTCATCATTGCACGGGGCAGACACACGTTTTAAATCATGTCATGTTTGGTATCTATTTACTCGGCATAATACCATCATCTTTTACATCTTACTACTTATACCAAATAATTGGCCAATATATTGTGTTTTTTTTGTGCATTAAAAGTAAAAAAAGTGTATTTTGTTTTAAAAAAATTGCATTTGAAAAACCGCTGCGCGAGTACTATGTGACATAAAAAAATTGCAGCACCCACCATTTTATTCACTAGGGTGTTTGCTTTAAAAAAAAATATATGTTTGGGGGTTTAAAAATTAATTTCCTAGCAAAAAATATTGATTTTTTTCATGTGAACAAAAAGTGTCAGAAAAGGTTGGTGTTCAGGTGGTTAGAAGAGTGAATGATGTGTGGCATAAACTATTCTAATGCTGGGCATAAAATGCCCCACCCCCCCCTAAATGACCCCTTTTTGGAAAGTAGACACCCCAAACTATTTGCTGAGAGGCACGTTGAATCAATAGAAGAATTAATTTTTTTACCACAAGTTTTTGGAAAATGACAAACAAAACTTTTTTTCTTTTAAACAGAAACAATTGAGTTCTGATGTGATACTTTTTTTATTTGCACTAACATACAAATTTTGAGGACAAGCTTTCGGGGTATGTCCCCCTTCTTCAAGGTCCAGGCAGTACTATTTCACAAAGTTTTAGCAGAATTTAAAAGAGATGTTGGAAAAAAAAAAAAAACAGAAAGAAACACACACAAACAAATGTACACAGAAATAGTTATAAAACTAGGATTAGACTAGAGATAGGACGCAGCAAAAGAAAAGTATCTGCCACCCCCTCTCTGCCAATCCCTCCACTGCCTCCACTCAGTGTCCTCCACCCCTCTCTGCCAGTCCCTCCACCGGCCTCCACTCAGTGTCCTCCACCCCTCTCTGCCAGTCCCTCCACCGGCCTCCACTCAGTGTCCTCCACCCCTCTCTGCCAGTCCCTCCACCGGCCTCCACTCAGTGTCCTCCATCCCTCTCTGCCAATCCCTCCACTGGCTTCCACTCAGTGTCCTCCATCCCTCTCTGCCCAATCCCTCCACTGGCCTCCACTCAGTGTCCTCCACCCCTCTCTGCCAATCCCTCCACTGACTGCGGGTCCGGGGAGAGCGGATATAGTGAATGCGGGGTCCGGGGAGAGCGGATATAGTGAATGCGGGGTCCGGGGAGAGCGGATATAGTGAATGCGCGGGGTCCGGGGAGAGCGGATTTATAGCGAATGCGGGGTCCGGGGGGAGAGCGGATATAGTGAATGCGGGGTCCGGGGAGAGCGGATATAGTGAATGCAGGGTCCGAGGTGAATAGGTGGTGTAGGGATATTGTATTGAAGACATTGATAGGCATTGTGGTCATTCTTGGACAGACCAGTGATAAGACCACTTTACACATCAGAAGATCTCTTTTGTATGGGAATGTTCTGCAGGTCACCTTTGGTGGTATTTGGGGAATCGCCAGTTTATCTAATTAGACATTTGGAAGGTTACATTGTTTTCATGTTTATGGATGATGAAGAAGTGATTTGACCAGACAAGAAGTATTCATTGATGGTAATCAGACTCCAGGGGGTATTCTATGGTGAGGGGTGATTTGTGTATTTGGTAAGCACTGTAATGACCCAAATTGTTATCTGTAGTAATGACAAGTGAAGTCTTTTCATGGAAGATCAAAAGTGTTTTGTCAGCCAATCAGGAACCCTCCAGTAAACTGGTGAATGCAGGGTCAGGGGGGTTTAGTAACTCTTTAAATGACAGCATTGGATTCTTCGATGCAAAATCTGATTGTTGTACCCAAAAAATCCTTTTCTTGGCTTCCATTGAGAGATGTGGGATCCATACAGTTTATTTCCATTCCTCCTGCAGAAGAGACACGTGAAGAGAGAAATAAAAAAAGGTTCCAGTGCTGGTGCAGTGACTAGCCTTGTTGTCTGGTAAAAAAAAATGGGGGGGGGGGCGGGGCGTTGATACAAAGTGACTCTGATCCAGGGGCGGACTGACCATTTGGAAACTCGGGCACTGCCCGAGGGCCCGGGGTCAGTAGGGGACCCCATGAGATGCCCCCCTACTGACCCCATAGGATATTTTGAGTGTGGGCAAGGACACAGGAGCCCCATGATCCTCTATTGCCTGGGGGCCCCATGAGTTGTCAGTCCACCCTGCTCTGATCTAATGGGGGGCTTTAAGGGGGGTGCTGATATGAAGGAACTCTGATATAATGGGGTGGTCTCTAAGGGGGGGGTGCTGATATGAAGGGACTCTGATATAATGGGGTGGTCTCTAAGGGGGGGTGCTGATATGAAGGGACTCTGATCTAATGAGGGGGTCTCTAAGGGGGTTGCTGATATGAAGGGACTCTGATATAATGGGGGGGTCTCTAAGGGGGGGGGGTGCTGATATGAAGGGCCTCTGATATAATGGGGGGGTCTCTAAGGGGGGGTGCTGATATGAAGGGCCTCTGATATAATGGGGGGGTCTCTAAGGGGGGTGCTGATATGAAGGGACTCTGATATAATGGGGTGGTCTCTCTAAGGGGGGGGGTGCTGATATGAAGGGACTCTGATATAATGGGGGGTCTCTAAGGGGGGGTGCCCTCTGATTCCTCCTGTATTGAATTGTATTGCAGCTGTACTGTTGGCTCTATATACATCCTGTATGTTGTTAATAATAATGAGTTGTTGCCATAGAAACTAGTGATGGTTTCATTTTCACAGCGATGAATATCAGAGACCTCCGGCGGCTGCGCGCCGCTCTATTCGTCAGACTTTATAGTGAGCCGCTCTACCCCTCTCCGGCATCTCTATGGGAGGCCGCTCTGTCGTCTCGCTGGTCTCTATGGCCGGACGCTCTATCCTCCGGCACTCTATGGTGCTGATTGCGATCAGGCAGCGCAGCGGACAGCCTGTTTTGGGTCCTGCGGAGTGTTGGCAGTTCCGGGTCCACGTCTCCGGGCGATGATGGAGGGGAGAGCGGAGAGCTGAGTGTGAGAGGAGCCGAGACATCCTGTATACAGCCGGGGAGAGGTGAGAGCATGGGCCCGGGGTACCTACCCACCCACTTACCGCACTGCTCTCGGCCTGGTGGAGCCGCCTCTGGGGACCCTAATCCTGGGGGGTCCCCCTGCCCCGATCCTGGGGGGTCCACTTTTCCCTGCCCCGATCCTGGGGGTCCCACTCTCTTCTGCCCCGATCTGGAGGCAGCCCCCTGTTGTGACTCTGGGGGGTCCCCACTTCCCACTGCCCCGAACCTGGGGGTCCCCACTGTCCTGATCCTGGGTGGTCCCCCTATTGTGATCTGGGGGGCCCCACTTCCCCGATCCAGGGGGTCCCCACTGTCCTGATCCTGGGTGGTCCCCCTATTGTGATCTGGGGGGCCCCACTTCCCACTGCCCCGATCCAGGGGGTCCCCACTGCCCACTGTCCTGATCCTGAGGGTCCCACTGCCCCTATCCTGGGGTGGGTCCCCACTGCCCCAATCCTTGGGGTCCCACTCTTCCCTACCCCTATCCTGGGGTGGGTCCCCACTGCCCCAATCCTTGGGGTCCCACTCTTCCCTGCCCCTATCCTGGGGTGGGTCCCTACTGCCCCGATCCTTGGGGTCCCACTCTTCCCTGCCCCTATCCTGCGGTGGGTCCCCATTGACCCGATCCTTGGGGTTTTACTCTTCCCTACCCTTATCCTGGGGGGTCCCACTCTCCACTGCCCCGATCCTGGGGGTCCCACTCTCCACTGCCCCGATCCTGGGGGTCCCACTCTCCACTGCCCCGATCCTGGGGGTCCCACTCTCCACTGCCCCGATCCTGGGGGTCCCACTCTCCACTGCCCCGATCCTGGGGGTCCCACTCTCCACTGCCCCGATCCTGGGGGGGGGTCCCACTCTCCACTGCCCCGATCCTGGGGGTCCCACTCTCCACTGCCCCGATCCTGGGGGTCCCACTCTCCACTGCCCCGATCCTGCGGGGGGTCCCCATGCCCCAATCCTGCAGGGGGTTCCCATGTTATGATTCTGGGGGTCCTCAGAATAAGATTGCCTGTGTCCCGGCCCCTCTCTTGCTGTCATTGGTCAGATTATCATTTAGGGCGGAGTCCAGTCCTATCTCCAGTGATCCCCGCCTTTATTCCTCATTACAGGTGATGAGTGAGGAGCTGTGACTGGCGACCCCGGAGATCCCCCACAATGTCCTGGCTGGTAGACCTGGCGGGTAAGGCGGAGGATCTGCTGAATCTGGTGGATCAGGGAGCGGCGACCGCGCTAAACAAGAGTAAGGAGGACGAGGACATCGCGTGCAGCGCCACCGACTACGCCGGACCCCCTCCGGACAGAGCCAAGGAGAAGCACCCGACCTACACCACCAAGTCCGGCTTCATCTCATCCGCCGCCGACAACATAAAGAGCCAGAAGGCCACTCTTCTCGCCGGCACGGCCAATGGGAAGTCCGTCAGCAGGCCGGGCCCCGAGACCTCCCACGGCGGCCCCTCCCCCCCCTCACACAGAACCTCCAGCCACTTCGTACGGAGGAAGAAGTCTGAGCCGGACGATGAGCAGCTCTTCGATTTCCTCAATAGTTCAGAGAAAGTGCACAACGGGGCCCTGGAGGCCAGGAGGGAGCCCAGCAGGGAGGGGAGCGGGAACCCCAGCAGTGCCAAGACCACCCACAGCGCCTCCCCCAGGACTGAACGGAGAACTCCAGGTACAAAGAATAGTCTCTTTATATATTAGCCTCTAATATCTACTTACCTGCTCCACACTCCATCTCTGCCCCCGGCTTCTCCCCGGCCCAGGGGTCCCCGCACCTTCTAAACTAAGGGACAGTTGACCGTCCTTCGGACTTTAGGGGACCGGACTCTGGCCATTGGCAGTTGAAAAGGTCCCAAAATCAGTGGGGGGGAAACAATGCCCCATTTTGGTGTCATTGGGAGGAAATGTGTCCCATTGTTGGTGTTATGGGACCCCATCGCTGGTGTCATTGGGAGGAATTGTGCCCCATCGCTGGTGTCATTGGACCCCCTCGCTGGTGTCATTGGGAGGAATTGTGTCCCATCGTTGGTGTCATTGGACCCCATCGCTGGTGTCATTGGGCGGAAATGTGTCCCATCGCTGGTGTCATTGGACCCCATCGCTGGTGTCATTGGGAAAAAATGTGTCCCATCGCTGGTGTCATTGGACCCCATCGCTGGTGTCATTGGAAGGAAATGTGTCCCATTGTTGGTATTATGGGACCCCATCGCTGGTATCATTGGGTGGAATTGTGTCCCATCGCTGGTGTCATTGGACCCCATCGCTTGTGTCATTGGGAGGAAATGTGTCCCATTGTTTGTATTATGGGACCCCATCGCTGGTATCATTGGGTGGAATTGTGTCCCATCGCTGGTGTCATTGGACCCCATCCCTGGTGTCATTGGGAGGAATTGTGCCCCATCGCTGGTGTCATTGGGAGGAAATGTGTCCCATCGCTGGTGTCATTGGGAGGAAATGTGTCCCATCATTGGTGTCATTGGACCCCATCGCTGGTGTCATTGGGAGGAAATGTGTCCCATTGTTGGTATTATGGGACCCCATCGCTGGTGTAATTGGCAGGAATTGTTGGTGTCATTGGGAGAAATTGTTCTGCATTGTTGATGTTAGTAGGAGGAACTGTGGCCCTTCATTGGTATCATAGGGCCCCATTGTTGATTTAGTTGGGAGAAGTTGTGCCCCATCATTGGTGTCATTGAGGGGAATTTAGTGCCATCGTTGGTACCAATGGATGAAATATTTCCTGGAAGGCTGGATAAAAGCAAGCAGAGGCCGCAGTTTGGACACCCCTGATCCAGCCCTTACCCCCCCAGACTGACTGTCCTTGGCCCCACCCCTTTCATTCATTGGATTTCACTTCTTTCAGTCATGAAGGTTCAGCATCATATGTGGGTGTGACCTAGGATGGTCAGCATGCAAATACAGCCTGCCTAGGACCGCCCACTCCTCCATACTGATCTACACCTATCAGGTCATTTTGATATTTACATATCCCCTCCCAAGCGCCATCCCACTGCTTGCATCAGGAATGAGGCTCCTGAGAAGAGTACTGAGGCAGGGTGCTGTGATGTTTTCAGGAAGCTATGTACAGCACCCTGCTGGCCCCTCCCATTAGCTGTGATGTGCCTGCATTGCATAGAGAAGCACAGAGATCCAGTGCTGATGCCACTGGTCCTGAAGTGAGGTATATAATGAAAACAGGTTCTATTATGATGTCATTCTGTTATTAGAAAGGGGTGGATGTCACATTTATAACATTAGTCATTCATTCTGTATTTTAGCAAATTGCTGATCTTTTCCTCGATTCTTAAAGCTGAACTCCGTTCAGAGACATGAAGGCACCTTTGTCTTCTCTTCCCTTTCATCCATGAGGCAGTATTTCCTGTTGTCGAGCATCCACTGAGTCATGAACCTGTAAAGGTCCAGTTGTCAGGGCTCAGATATCCTATTAGTAGCCCTGGGCTGAGCTCTGCTGTCTCCTCTGGGGGGGGGGGGGGGGGGGGGTCACACTTCATGTAACTGTTCCGTGTAGTTTGTGGTGACGTCATATTACCGCCATCTGCAGAAGCGTTCAGACTTCCCGTCTGTTCCACCCATCCACACACCTCTCGCCCACAATCCCGCCCACCACCATTGCCAATGTCCAATAGCGTGTACACACACACGGAAATGTGTATTTGCTCCCCGGCTGATGCTGAATGTTCGCCCCTCACACAGAAATGATCGGTCTAACAATGGAATGTTCGCCCCTCACACAGAAATGATCGGTCTAACAATGGACTGTTCGGTGTAACACTGAGAGACAGAATACAACAACAAATTCAGCAGAAATGCGTCTAACAAATGATGACTGATCTGCATGTTCATGAGGGAAAGAAGGATTTGATCCCCTATCATTCAGTAGGATTTCTGGCTCCCAGGTGTCTCTCATACAGGTAACAAGCTGAGATTAGAAGCAGTCTCTTAAAGGGAGTGCTGCTAATCTCACTTTGTTACCTGTATAAAAGACACCTGTCCACAGGAGCAATCAAACCATCAGATTCCAAACTCTCCACCATGGCAAAGACCAAAGAGCTGTCCAAGGATGTCAGGGACAAGATGGTAGACCTACACGAGGCTGGACTGGGCTACCAAACGATGGCCAAGCAGCTTGGTGAGAAGGTGACAACAGTTGGTGCAATCATTCACAAATGGAAGAAACACAAAACAAGTGTCAGTCTCCCTAGGTCTGGTGCACCATGCAAGATCTCACCTCGTGGGGTGTCAATGATCATGAGAACAGTGAGGAATCATCCCAGAACTACACGTGAGGATCTTGTCAATGATCTCCAGGCAGCTGGGACCACAGTCACCAAGAAAACAATTGGTAACACACTACGCCGACAAGGACTGAAATCCTGCAGTGCCCGCAAGGTCCCTCTGCTCAAGAAAGCACATGTCCAGGCCCGTCTGAAGTCTGCCACTGAACATCTGAATGATGCAGAGGAGGACTGGTGGGAAGTGTTGTGGTCAGAGGAGACCAAAATCCAGCTCTTTGGCATCAACTCAACTCGCCGTGTTTGGAGGAGGAGGAATGCTGCCTATGATCCCAAGAACACCATCCCAACTGTGAAACATGGTGGTGGAAACATTCTGCTTTGGGGGTGTTTTTCTGCTAAGGGGACAGGACAACTGCACCGCATCAAAGGGACGATGGATGGACGGGGCAATGTACCATCAAATCTTGGGTGAGAACCTTCTTCCCTCAGCCCGGGCATTGAAAATGGGTGGTGGATGGGTGTTCCAGCATGACAATGACCCAAAACACACGGCCAAGGCAACAAAGGAGTGGCTCAAGAAGAAGCACATTAAGGTCCTGGAGTGGCCTAGCCAGTCTCCAGACCTTCATCCGATTGAAAATCTGTGGAGGAAGCTGAAAGTTTGAGTTGCCAAACGTCAGCCACCAAACCTTAATGACCTGGAGAGGATCTGCCAAGAGGAGTGGGCCAAAATCCCTCCTGAGATGTGTGCGAACCTGGGGGCCAACTCCAGGAAACGTCTGACCTCTGTGATTGCCAACAAGGGATTGGCCACCAAGTACTAAGTCATGTTTTGTGAAGGGGATCAAATCCTTATTTCCCTCCTGAACATGCAGATCAGTCATCATTTGTTAGACGCATTTCTGCTGAATTTGTTGTTGTATTCTGTCTCTGCATCTGTGGGGCGTCCTCAAACGGAAGGTGGAGGAGCACAAGGTCTCTAACATCCACCAGCTCCGTGATGACGTCATGGAGGAGTGGAAGAGGACTCCAGTGGCATCCTGTGAAGCTCTGGTGACCTCCATGCCTAAGAGGGTTAAGGCAGTGCTGGAAAATAATGGCGTCCACACAAAATATTGACACTTTGGGCCCAATTTGGACCTTGTCACTTAGGGGTGGAGTCACTTTTGTTGCCAGCGGTTTAGACATTAATGGCGGTGTGTTGTGTTGAGTTATCTTGAGTGGACAGCAAATTTACATGTTATACAAACTGTACACTGACTACGTCACATTGTAGCAAAGTGTCATTTCTTCAGTGTTGTCACATGAAAAGAGAGAATCAAATATTTACAAAGATGTGAGGGGGAGGGGACTCACTTCTGGGAGATACTGTATATTGTACATTCACATCAGTCCCTAACCCTCAAGGGGCGTACAATCTAAGGTCCCTAACCCTCAAGGGGAGTACAATCTAAGGTCCCTAACCCTCAAGGGCTGTACAATCTAAGGTCCCTAACCCTCAAGGGGCGTACAATCTAAGGTCCCTAACCCTCAAGGGGAGTACAATCTAAGGTCCCTAACCCTCAAGGGCTGTACAATCTAAGGTCCCTAACCCTCAAGGGGCGTACAATCTAAGGTCCCTAACCCTCAAGGGGCGTACAATCTAAGGTCCCTAACCCTCAAGGGCTGTACAATCTAAGGTCCCTAACCCTCAAGGGGCGTACAATCTAAGGTCCCTAACTCACATTCATACATACACATACTAGGGACAATTTAGACAGGAGCCAATTCACCTACCAGCATGACTTTGGAGTGTGGGAGGAAACAGGAGGAAACCCAAGCAGGCACAGGGAGAACATGCAAACTCCAGGCAGGTGGTGCCATGGTTGGGATTTGAACCAACAACCTGAGGATTGCCAGGTGGAAGTGCTAACCATTTAACCACTGTGCTGTCAGCGGCTGCAGCTACAGTCATGATCCCGGTACTAGACTTTTCAGCAGACCGTTCCCTTTTATGTAAATGTGATCCAAGTGGCTATATAGCCGCTCAATCACTTTTACAGATGGCTGAAAGGAGTCGTCTGCCTTGGTGGGGGGCAGTGTCACAGGGGGAGGGAGGGCAGTGGGATAGGTGGGGGCAGTGTCACAGGGGGAGGGAGGGCAGTGGGATAGGTGGGGTCAGTGTCACAGGGGGAGGGAGGGCAGTGGGATAGGTGGGGGCAGTGTCACAGGGGGAGGGAGGGCAGTGGGATAGGTGGGGCAGTGTCACAGCGGTGGGGGGGGGGCAGCAGGATAGCTGGGTGGCAGTGTCATAGGTTGGGGGGGGGGGGGGGGGGGGGGCTGTGTCACAGGAGGGTGGTAGTGGGATAGGTGGGGGGCAGTGGGATGGGGGCGGCATCATCACAGGAGGGGGGGTAGTGGGACAG